CTGCAGTATCGTTACTCTGTGCTGCAGTATCGTTACTCTGTGCTGCAGTATCGTTACTCTGTGCTGCAGTATCTTTACTCTGTGCTGCAGTATTGTTACGCTTTGTTTGAACTATCAGCTGTCGGGTTCTGGATTCCCTTAAACTGGACCAATCTGCAGTGCATTCTGGGTAAACGACTGTCTAAAAACTACAAACATGGCTGCCTGCATGAGAGCATGTGTGTGCGGTCCTACCTCAGTCTGCACCATGTGTGAGCGGTGCAGCCGCAGGTCGAACACGGCGCCGTAGATGTCCAGCACGTCCTTACTGTCCAGCTGCTGCAGAACCCGGTCCAGGACGATGAAGGTCCCTGTACGGCCCACACCGGCACTGATGGACACACCAGAGTCCAGTCAAAGACGTTTCATTTAACAGGCGGACAACCTGAGCAGGACTGAGTGGGCGCTAATGGAGCGGTTCTGATCCTCTGTGTTGTTGTAAAGAAGCTGCTTTGGTCATGAGAAGCTGCTGCAGGTGGAGGAAACCAGCAACGGATCCAAACTACACTGCTGCCCATGAAGTTGGAATAAAATATATTTTTCCTCTTCTCATGAAATGATTGTCACAATAATAAAGTTTATACCTTCTCCAAACTTTACTGATATCACAAAATACATACGATGCACATCACATTAAAATTAAACCACGACTAACTTTTCAAACTGTGTGTTCAGGCTTAAACTAACCACGAGGTTTAAATCCTTCATCCTTGGTCATTTAACAGGAATCAGGTGCTGGATGGGACCCCATCCATCAGAAGGTCCAGTTTGACTCTTTAAATGTCCCTCAGTCACTACTACTGAGTCTGGCCCCTTTCATGGAACAATGCGTTCAGACATGTTCTGTCCACCAGCTGGTTGATGGAGTCAGTGGGCAGGACGTCCCACTCTTCAGCCACATCCTGAAGTCAGACCTGGTTCCACCTGCTAACTGGGACTCAGCGTGTAGTCACTGGTCAGAGTGGTGACTGATGTGTATACAGAGACATATAAAGAGGAATGTGTCTGAAAACACAAATCATTCCAAATCTATGGGCAGCAGCGTACCTAACTCTTTGTGAAGCTGAGAGCAGGACGTCGTCATCGTGTGAGACAGCTTGAAAATTCTGATCTACAGTCGCAGGTTCGTTTTCCTCAGACAGCTGCAGTGGATTCAGTGTGAGGTCCTTTAAACTCTGAGGTCTACCTGCAGTGGACCACAGTGGGTCCAGATCCAGGACTCCTGTTGACGTAGTCCCGGACGGTCCGGACAAACTGGATCAGGGACTGCGTGGTCTCTGGGACTCCGTGATCGGGCCAAACCGTGTAGTGAAACTGACGGACCAGACGACTGAAGCTCAGCTGCTCCTCCTGGAAACACAAACCTCTGATGATTAAACACAAAGTGTTTCAGCTGCACTTTAACCCTTTAACTCCAACAGCTCCCGTCCCATATATCTTCACTGAGGGTCATGATTCAGCATAAAGTCCTGCAGCTCTGAGGAACCAGAACATGAAGGAGGAGGAGAGAACTCAGAGATGTCTTCTGTCAGCAGGACTCAGTCAGAACCATGGAGACCAGAGAAAACGAAAACCCTGAACCTAAAACCAACATGTCCAACATTTAGTCGTTTCACATCTTTTTCTTTTTTTTCATCTGTATATCTATTTTGTAAAAACGTACAAAACCAGGAACCATCATGTCCAACATGTTTCCACATGTTAAACCCTGGAGCTAATGTGGTCTCCTCATCATGCAGATGTTGAACTATCTCCATGTCTCCAGACTTTTCCTCTCTGCTCATCAGCTGTAGAAAGATGTTCCACCATCGGCCATAGAAAGATGTTCCACCATCAGCTGTAGAAAGATGTTCCACCATCAGATGAAGAAAGATGTTCCACCATCAGATG